ATGCACAACATGCTAAACAAGAGAATCGCCCCCAGACTATGTTTTGACTATTTCTGCATATGCCTCCTATAGAGGGACAGGCCCGACTTACGGGTCGCGGTGACCACCAAGGGTAAGGAAAGCGACAAGTCTCAGTGTCCGCTGAGACCCCACCGACCCCACGGGACCTCGGTCAGCTCCGACCCCCTTCGACACGACCTCGAAGTCGTCACGCCTCCCCCCCTCCTTCTCTTCCCTTCGCTGCATGGGCAGCCAGCCAGTGGTACGAGCTGGGTCCACTACTGGATCGCCACCGTGACGCACCCATGCGACGAGCCCCCCACCCACGCCACCGATTCCCCGACGCACCCGTCCACCTCCTACGACCAGCGTCACCCGAACCACCACCCGCCACTGCTCTGGAGTCCCGAAACGGTGCGGTGACAAACCGTGCGGTGACCTCGGCGCCCCAAGAGACCCCACCGCACGGTCCGTCGCCGCACGGTCTGGGGACCCGGGAGGCCCCTGCCGCCCGAGGCGTCCTCGGAGGACGACGCGAGTCCCAAAACCGTGCGGTGGCCCCGAAGCCCCACCGACTCACCGCACGGTGTGGTCACCGCCCCGTTGGGGGACCCCCGCCGCTGCCGCAGGCCACACCGACGGCACCCCGGGGGGCGACAGCACCCACCACGGCCCCGCCCGCGGCCAGACCGCACCGTGGCCCCTGTAGCTCCCCCGCCCCGCCCGCCTCGGCGGTGCGCGCGGGGCGGGCCGACGGCGGCACCCGTCGGAGGGCAAAGGCAGCCGGCTTCGAGGCTTCGAGGCTTCGAGGAGGAGGAGGAGGCGGAGGCGGAGGCGGAGGCGGGGGAGGAGGAGGAGGAGGAGGAGGAGGAGGAGGAGGAGGAGGAGGAGGAGGAGGAGGAGGAGGGGAGGAGGAGGAGGAGGAGGAGGAGCAGGAGGAGGAGGAGGAGGAGGAGGAGGAGGAGGAGGAGGAGGGGAGGAGGCGGAGGGAGGAGGAGCAGGAGCAAGGAGCAGGAGCAGGAGCAGGAGCAGAGAAGTGAGCAGGCGCAAGGAGCAGGAGCAAGGAAGCAGGGCGGATGATTGATGATGATGATATTATGATGATGATGTTGTGGAGTGATGCATGATGATGGTTTGATGAATGATGATGACACACATCTATTTGATGTGATGATTGATGCCTGTCGCCGGATGATGATGATTTGGATGTGATGATGTGAGATGCATGATGATGATGATGATTGATGATGGATTGTGATTGTGTTTTGTTTGATGATGCTTGGATGATGATTGTTGATATGATGATGATGATGATGATGATTGTGATAGAGATGATGATGAGAGGATTGATGATGATGATGATGATGATGAGTTGTGATGATGCTGCTGCTGCTCGCGGCTGACGGATGATGATGATGATCAGATGAGGATGAGGATGATGAGATGAGATGATGATGAGATGATGATGATGATGAGGAGGAGGAGGAGGAGGAGGAGGAGGAGGAGGAGGAGGATGAGGCTGAGGAGGAGGAGGAGGAGGAGGGAGGAGGAGGAGGAGCAGTGAGAGGAGGAGGAGGAGGAAGAGGAGGAGGAGGAGGAGGACGAGGACGACGACAACGACGACTCGGACGATGCATGGGGACGTGGCGAGGACGGTACGGGGACGGGGGAGGTGGAGAGCGGGGCTGCTGCTCGCTCAATGCCCTCCCGCCCGAAGCTCCTCTCGAATCCGCATACGGAGATCTTCTCGCAAGGCGGAGGGTCGAGCAGGGGGGGCGGGGGGGCACATTGGGGCACATTGGCAGGAGGACCTCCGTCCTTCCTCCCCTCCTCCTCCTCCTCCTCCTCCTCATTACTCCTCTCCTCCCCCCCTCCTCCCTCCTCCTCATACCCCTCAATCGTCGCCTTCCTCCTCCTCCCCGACCTTCTCCTGCCAGCCCCGGCCATCTCTCCTCTCCTCGCCTCGTTTCCCTTACCCCCGCGCGCATTGCTGCGTGTAGGAGCGCGCGCGCGCGTATGGCGGGGAAGACGCAAGAGGACGAGGAAGAAAGGGATGACCAGCAGAACCAACGTGAACCCCCAGACCTGTTCTGGGGTGCGTCTTGACCAGAACTTCGAGGCGGATCCGGCCGTGGCGACGAGCATCCCCCCCCCCGGAAAGGCCCACAGAAGGCGAAAACGCCACCCCCCGAACAAAAAAAACGAGGGAGGAAGAGGAGGGGGAGGAGGAGGAGGAGGAGGAGGAGGAGGGGAGGAGGAGGAGGAGGAGGAGGAGGAAGGAGGAGAGGAGAGGAAGAGGAGGAGAGGAGGGGAGGAGGAGCAGGGGAGGAACGAGGAAGAGGTAGGAGGAGGAGGCCAGTGGGAGGAGAGGAGGAGGAGGAGGAGGAGGAGGAGGAAGAGGAATAGGAGGAGGAGGAGGAGGAGGAGGAGGGAGGAGTAGGGCTGGTGCTTTTAGCGGGCGTCTGTTTACGAGGGAAACCGCCACATGGGGCGGCCCCGCCCGGGCCGCGCGCGGCGGGGGGGAGCGCGGGGCCCCGCAGGAGCCCCCGCTGCGCCGCCCACCCACGGGGCCGAAAGGCGCTGCGGGCGACCATTGGCGCCCTGCGGGCCTGGTCGTCGTCGTCGTCGTCGTCGCCGTCGTCGCCGTCGTCGCCGTCGTCCGCTGCGTCGGCGCCGCGGTCGGCAAACGGGGAGGGGCGGCGAGGGGGGAGAAGAGAAGGAAGGCTAGGAAAGGAGGGGGATGAGGAAGAGGGAGAGGGGATAATGGGGGAGGGGGAGGAGGAGAAGGAGCAGCAGTCCAAGTCCGAGTCCCACTGCGAGTGCGAAGAGGACGAGGAGGAGGAGGAGGAGGAGGAGGAGGAGGAGGAGGAGGGATAATGGGGGAGGGGGAGGAGGAGAAGGAGCAGCAGTCCAAGTCCGAGTCCGACTGCGAGTGCGAAGAGGACGAGGAGGAGGAGGAGGAGGAGGAGGAGGAGGAGGAGGAGGGGGAGGAGGAGAAGGAGGAGGAGGAGCAGGACAAGGAGGAGGAGCAGGAAGAGGAGCAGGAAGACGAGGAGGGAGAAATCGAACAATGAATACCGGGAATCGGCGGAGAAGCGGGGCGAGGAAGGGGACGGGCGGAGGAGATTGTTTCAGCGCGCGCCTCTCTTCTTCCATACCTGCCTGTCAGGGCGTGCCGCCAGCTCGCGGGCCCACGCCCATTCGAGGAGAGGGGCGGCAGGAAACGGGGGCAAGGGCGCAGCACGAAGAGAAGCAAGAGGGGCGGCAGGCCGGTGCAGGACGGCGCTTCGCTTCCCCAGCGCGCCAGCGACGAGGAGCACAACGCCGCCGCCCCGCGAGAGCCTGCCGCCAGACCCACAGCCAGGCGAAGGGGCCCACCCTGCCACCGCCAGCGGCAGCCGCACGGGCGCGGCGGAGCAGCGGCAGGTGGGCACCCAGGCGGGGGCAGCAGCAGCAGCACCGGCGACGACGCAGCAGCAGCAGGGGAGCACGCATGGCTTTTTTGTTGACATCCGCGCGCCTGCCAGGGCGCACGCTCTGGGGGGACGGCGCCTCCCCCCAGAGGGAAGGGCAGGCCCTGGGTGGCGCTCGCGGCTTCTGGCGCCCGCTGCCCCTTTCGCCGCCGGCCCGCCCCCCCGCTGACATCGCGGACGCGCGGGAACCGGCGCGGGGAGGGAGAGGGCCCGCACGCAGACGCACTTCCTCAACAGCGCCGGGGCCTCGCGTTTCAGCGAGACCTCGGCGCGAGGGCGCCGGGCAAAAGAGCGCGGCGCACGGAGTCTCGCGGGCGCGCGAAACAAGGAGAGCACGCCCCGGAGAGGCCCTGCCCCGGCGGACCGGGCGCCGGTCCACGCGAGAGAGGGGCGGCGGGGTGGCGGGTCAGCGCGCGAGGCGCGGAGCCAGACGCCCACGCAGTCGAGATGCGGAGGCCGAGAGAGGCGGGGGACGCAAGAGCAGACAGTCCAAATGTGAGAAGCAGAAGGAAAGCATCTGTGCGTCAAGTAGGGAAGGCTAGCACACAACGCTTGCACAGCTCAGCCTGGCCCCAAGCTCGACGCGGGCAGGGATCTAGTGGGCACTGGCCCAGCGACACAACCAAGGACACGCAGCAATCATGCGAGACTTCGGGTGGCCCAGGCAGCGGGGAACACATTTATGGATGCGCCGAGACCATGTCGGGCGTCGCCTCGCAAACATCCTGACCCTCGACTGAACCAGTTCAGAAAGTGGGCTCCTGTCCCCATTCTTCTCTGGCGGTGAAGTGCGCTGAAGCCCTCGACGATGGCGGCGCAATGTTAATCGGGCCACGAAACGCTGCCCAGGGTGGGGGAAACGCATGCGAGAGCAGCCACTGGGGCCTTCGGTGGAGCTCCCTAGGGGGCCACGAAGCGCTACCCAGGGCGGGGGAAACGCATGCGAGAGCAGCCACTGGGGCCTTCGGTGGAGCTCCCTATGGGGCCACGAAACGCTGCCCAGGGTGGGGGAAACGCATGCGAGAGCAGCCACTGGGGCCTTCGGTGGAGCTCCCTATGGGGCCACGAAGCGCTGCCCAGGGTGGGGGAAACGCATGCGAGAGCAGCCACTGGGGCCTTCGGTGGAGCTCCCTATGGGGCCACGAAACGCTGCACTGGGGCAAAGGCAAGGAGGGGGAGGAGGGAGGAGGGGGAGGAGGAGGAGAGGAGGGAGGAAGGGGAGGAGGGAGGAGGAAGGAGGAGACGCGGGGCGCTGTCTCTTCAAAACGAGGACCCTGTCTCTTCAAAACGAGGACCCAACACCACAGGATGGTTGGGAATAAAACAGATTCAAAACAAACATTCCAAAATAGTCAAAAAAAACACCCTAAAATAGTCCCCAGACTGTTTGTTTGACTATTTTTGAATACTCCTCCTCCTCGTCGTCCTCCGAGCGACGGCGACCACGACGACCAGACACCACGACGACGACCACCGCCGCGACGAGGCGACGGGGCCGAGGCGCGCGGGCGGGCCCCGCTCCGCCGCCTTGCCCGAGTTGCACGGGAAGGGCTGCTCGCCGCAGTAGGCGTCCGTCAGCAGGCCGAAGTCCTCCTCGCGCGCGGCCGGGCATCAGGTCGGGCACGCCCCTCCACGGGAGGAGTGTTCGAAACTAGTGGCTTTTATGTTTCGCCCCACCTCCCATGCTTGATTGTTTTTTCGTCCGACGCCCCCCTGTAAGGTCGTGCTGCTCCCGTCGCACTTACGGACCACATCCCAGAAACAAACAATTTCGAGCACCCGGAAAAGTGTCGAAAGAGTGTCGAAACAGTGTCGGGCGAGTGTCTCCCAGGGCCCGACACGCGAAAGCCCTCCACTTTTGGGATACCTTTTTTTGGTGCTCGAAATTCTTCCTGGTGCTTCAGGCTGAAGCAGGTTGGAACATCATAACTGTAGGGGCCCCAGGACACACACACACACATAAATACACACAAATGAAACTATCCCCATATTTTCCCACATTTTCTGGGTTCCTGCCTTCCCCCCCACTTCCCACCTTCTCCCATATCTTCCTGGGAATCGACGATGAATTGTGTCTGTGTTTGCCCCCTCCTGATAAACTGTAGGGGGACATGCCCGACCTCGGCCGAGCAGCGGCCGCCGCGACGTGGCCCGAGCTCGCGCGCGCGCCGCGCCACCCCGCCCACCTCTCGCAGGAGGGCGGGGGGGGGGGGCCCTCGGAGCCGCGCGCCGGGCGCCCGCTGGGCGCCGCTGGAGCGTCGGGGCCTCCTGGATGGGGGTCTCACAATTTCTTCCCACGTCGCGCTCTCGCGCGGGACTTCCTCGCGATCTGTGCAGAGATCGCGCTCGCGTGGGGCTGCCTCGCGACGTGTGCAGGTGCCACGCCCTCGGCACTCTGCAGGAATCACGCTCTCGCCGTGGATGTTCAGACGATTTATATGGGAAGCGCGCTGTCGCCCGAGACTTCCTCGCGATTCGTGCAGGACGCAGGTGGGTCGAGGTACTACCAGAAGGAACGCCAAATGAGGAACAACGGGGCCTTTCTGGCCACGGTGGGCCCAGGCCACAAGCAAATCCCGCAGCATAAATCCAAGAAACGACCCGAGTCCCCGAGCCCCTTCCGAACCCAAAGCGGTCCTTATTTCAGCGTCTTGGCTGTAAGGTCGGAGGATCGCGCCGCATCGCCGGCACATCTGCGACGCATCGGTGATGCATCGGCGATGCATCGGCGATGCACCAGCGATGCATCGCCGACGCCAGCGGTGCATCGGCGACGTCCGCGCGACGAACGTCGGGCTCCGCATCGAGCCGCACCGGCGATGCGTCGGCGAGGCGGCGGGCTCCTCCAACCCTATCCACTCCGACCCCATCCAGGAGGCCCAGAGTTAGGTCGGGCCTGTCCCCCTACAGGGGGGTTTTGGGCGAAAAATAAAAGGAAATACTCCAAACATGCCCCCAGATGGCCAACAAAAAGGATCAACAGGTCGTCCCCAGACTGTCCTTGGCCTACTTTTGAACATTCCCCCTCTAGATGGACACGCCCGACTCAAAGCCCGCCCTCTCACTCCCGAGGTGCACGCAGGCGGTTCCGACGAGGGGGGGAGGAGGAGGAGGAGGAGGAGGAGGAGGAGGAGGAGGAGGAGGAGGAGGAGGAGGAGGAGGAGGAGGAGGAGGAGGGGAAGGAGGAGGAGGAGGAGGGCGCTGTCTCCGCCCGCCCTCCTCCGACGGTGCCCGCCGCGGACGCGCCGCGAGCGGCGACGCGCGTCTCCACGCCCGCGCCCTCGCGGCCTGCATCTCAGCGGGCCTCCGCGGACGCGCTCCCCGCGGGGGGTGGGGCGGGGCGTCCGCAGAAGAGGCGCGCCGCAGCCCGTGGGGGCCGCGGCCCCACCGGCCCGACGAGCGGCGCACGGGAGGGTTCCCCCTCTGGGAGGCGGGCGGGCGCGCCGCGCCCTCGGGGCTCCGGGCGAGTCCTCACTGTTTTGAGGGGGCCCCAGGACACACAACTGAAATGCACACACACAAAACAGATATTCCCCATATTTTCCAATATTTTCTGGGCTTTTGTCTTCCCCCCCACTTCCCATGTGTTCCCAGATTCTCTGGGGGATCGACGATGAATTGTGCCTGTGTGTGTGTGTGCGCTTTTCCCTCCTGGCTGTTCGGGTCGGCCGGCCACGGGGCCTCGGGCGAGGCCGCGCTGGCGACGGCGGTGGTCGGGACTCAGGCTGCAGCGCGCAGGGCACGGCCGTGCGCCCGAAGAGACCAGCGGGCGACGGGCGACGAAGGCACACAGGCCCACGCTGGAGCAACACTGGAGCACTGGCGGTGCTGATGATGATGACGATGACGATGACGATGACGATGACGATGACGATGATGATGATGATGATGATGATGATGATGATGATGATGATGATGATGATGATGATGATGATGATGATTGATTGATGATTTCTTGACGAGACGATGGATGATGATTGGTGTGATTTGTGATGATGATGATGATGATGATGATGATGATGATGATGTTTATGATGTGAATTGATGATGTTGAGTGGAGTTGATTGATTGATGATGATGATGATGATAGTAGGAAGAGGGGGCTATATATTTAGTTAGATATATACATGGACGCGCAGCGGAGGAGAGCAGCGGAGGATATTGGTGCCTATCCGGCGACGCTGCCTCCAGCACGAGTACACAACGCAATGACAACAACTGTTAGTCTGCAGGAGGCGAAGCTGGCGGGAACCCATCCCGACTGCAGCCCACCAAGGCGCACGTTAAAATCGCATTACCTGATATCAACTTGAGGGCGCTCTGTGAACCCCTTTGCAGCACGTCTGGAGATTCGATGACCACCGGGCGCGGGAGAGACACACTGCCAGGCCAGGCATGCAATACCATGGATGCTCCGTACAAAGGCAGCCGCGGACGCAAACGCGGATACTGGTAGGCACAACGTGGCCAATGTGAACCGCTAGGGGCCATGCCCTATTCGCAACGGACTGCGGATGCGCCGCCTCGGCAGTGTAAACTGGGGACAACTGTGACGACCCGATGCACCTACTCAACCCACCAGCGTTGCTCCAGCGACCCGCTACTTCTTGAGCAGCCCCGTCGTGCGCGCGACGAAGTCCATCGGCCGGTCGTGGCCGCCGCCGCGGGCGAGGACCAGGAGGCCGAACCGCGAGCAGTCGGCCACGCGCGGCTCCTCCCCGAGGAGGCACAGCTTGCCTCCGAGGACTGCTGCCACCAGGCCGCAGCCAGGCTCCGACGTCTCTGAACGCGCCAGGGTGCAACTGCTGCGAGGTTCTCGTCGGAAAGATCAGGGAGGATGAAGCCCCATGTGGGAGCTGTTACGCCGGAGAGGGCCTCGGATAAAGCGGGATTCAGCCCGAGTGAGCGGGACTGAGCGGGATTTAAGCGGGATCAAGCCGGTTTCAGCCGGAGTTCGGACCAGGGCAACATCAGAATTTGACCCACCCAGGAGTTGCAACCGAAAATGCGGTATCGTCGGACGTGCATCCGTGGGCTGCACACTTCTCAATCTGCTCCGCCCGGATCCGCCCAGGGAGGCAGCACTGCAGGATCCAAGGCAGCCCGAACTTTATCACGTCGACCTCCTGCTCACACCCCTCGTCCATGGCAAACCTCGAGTACACCATTGGGAAGTACAGCTTCTTCTCGACCAGCTCCAGTACCTCCTGCGACATTCTCTGCTGGTCCGCACTTAGCGCGCCCTTGTCCAAAGCCCTGTACGCACCGGACGTCTCGCTCTCCAGGCGGTCGACAATCGCCTGCGAGTCGCCGATTGTTTCACGCTGATGATGACGATGCTGATAATGCTGATTATGATGATGATGATGGTGATGATGATGATGATGATGATGATGATGATGATGATGATGATGATGATGATGATGATGATGATGACGGTGCTGAATGTTGGCATGATGATGGCGATGATGTTGATGATCAATATGATGATGCTGCTGCTGATGATGCTGCTGATGATGATGGTGGCGATGGTGGTGGATATGGTGTAATGGCAAAGAGAGACAAGGAGGGTCGAGGCAGGGGTCGGAGGGGGAAGGAGGTGGAAGGTGGGCAGCGGGAGGAGGTGAGACGCTGGGCGCTCTCTTCAAAACGAGGCCCCGGCACCACAGGACCGTTAGGAGAAGCATAACTTGGCATGGAGGGGGAGGGCGGTGGACCCCAAGACGGCGCGGACGCAGCAGCGCCCACAGCCAACGGTCGCCCTGCCGCTCGCGTCCTGCTCCTGCCCCGTCCGTTTCCCTCCCCCCCTCCTGCGTCGCCCTCCTTATCGGTCTTCTCCTCCTCCTCCTCCTCATTCTCCTCCTCCTCCACCTCCTCCTCCTCCTCCTCCTCCTCCTCCTCCTCCTCCTCCCTCTCCCCCTCCTGCGGCCGTTGTGCCGAGCGTTTCCTTCGGGATTCGATTTAATCAGTCCCTCAGTCCCTCCTCCTCCTCCTCCTCCTCCTCCTCCTCCTCCTCCTCCTTGTCCTGATCCGTCGTCGTCATCGGTCCTCCCCCTCATCCTTCCTGCTGGTGCCGCTGCTCCTCATCCTCCTCCATGTCCTCCTCCTCCTCCTCCTTCTCCTGTTCCGTCTACTCCTGCTCCAAATCGTCGTCGTCATGTTCGTCGTCGTCGTCCTCCTCCTCCTCTTCCCTCTCCTCCCTCTCCTCCTCCTCATCCTCCTCCTCATCCTCCTCTTTCCTCCCGGCGGGGAGCAGGGCGCCTTGTGCTCCACGCCCAGCAGGTCCATGCAGCGCCGCAAGAACAGGTCCTCGCCCCACTCCTGGTGCCAGCGCGGGCAGCGCGGCGAGTTTCACACCACACCATCCTACCCCTCGCCCTTTCCTCCCGCCTAGTTCGACCGACCTGGCTAACTTGGTTCAGATCTCTACTCTTTATATAGTGTGCACTCCCACTTTGCCCAGTAGCCGGCCAACAGGGGGTTCATCAAGGGGGGGTCCACCCGACCTGTTACAAAATTAACCTGGAGGAGGACCCACCCGTATGCAGTTGTGAATACCGCAGCTGTGAGCATTGCCTTCAGGTGATCTTCCCATGAGGCCACGAAACGCGCGAATGGTATCCCGAAGCGCGCGGATGAAGACGGAATGGTTTCAGATATTGCTCTTGCTTGAAACTTCATCACGGACTGTTGTCCTGAACCTTGGAACACCCAGCAAAAGTTTCCGGATGGGTGAAGCCGAGCTCTCTCCTAGGACCAGGTCACAGTCAGAAGCTGCAGCTGCCAATTCTTCACGGGAGTCTGAGCGGTTACGTTCGAGAATGTGTTCTCGTCTGGATCCCCATTGAGCTTCGTCACGCGAGAGGTGAACATCTCCGTCGCTATACCGGTGGGGGGCGGGCTCCTTTTCAAAACCGTGCTCTCGACTCGGCGCCGTGCACAAAACACCCGCCTACCACACCAGCTACCAGCTGCAGTGCTTGTGGGTGGATCCCCCTCAAGCTCATGACGGTCTGTAACGTTATGCGGCCTCATATTTCATCATGCTTGTTGGCGCGCGCTTCGAAACCTACTGGGCCCTCACAACGCGTGCAGGTCCATGGGACCGAAAGCCAATATGGCATTGCATCGATTCGTGCGGAGGGGGGGGGCACGGGAGGGTGCGGTATTAATTGAGCATGCTTGGTGACGCACTTTGTCCCCTATGTTTCTTTTCCCCGCTGTCCTGCATGCTACCCCTCTATCAGTATCCTCTCTCCTCCTATACACTCCGTATCCTTCTTCTGCTCATCTCCTCCTCCTCCTCCTCCTCCTCCCTCCTCCTCCTCCTCCTCCTCCTCCTCCTCCTCCTCCTCCTCCTCCTCCTCCTCCTCCTCCTCCTCCTCCCCTTCTCATGCTTATCCTCCTTTCTTCCTCCCTCCTCGTATGTGGGAGGATGATCCAAGGCCAGAGAACCAAGTCAGTCTGGATCCTGCCACGGAAACTCCGTCTTGCACTTGTCCAGGTTCTGGAAGAACTGGTTCATTGCCTGCGGGCGCGGCTTCACACTCGTAAATTGGACTGGCGCGCTTCTTTGTGGCAAGCGGAAAGGGATGGACTTGCGCACTGATGGTCGGAAATGATCTACGACTGGTGGCACATGGCCGAATGCGAGGTAGCGCGCCACAACATGCCTGTTCGATTGATCCGGCTTCGTCCAGCATCGGACCGGCTCTGTCACCATCCACTTCCCCTCATCTCTTGCCCTTGCCCTCATCGTTCTATCACCATGTCGCTCTGCTACCAGCCTCCTCGCTCCCTTCTCCCTACCCGCTCACCCCGCTCCCTCCGTCGCCCAGCCATCGTCTCCCACCAGCACGCTGGGCGGCGAGGTGGCATGACTAGCTGCGTCCTTCGCTCTCCCAGGGAAGCCTCGCCTACTCGTTACTCGTGGATACTCCTCCCCAGTAACCCCCTCCCCCTGGGTCTGGACGGGGGTCCGCGACCTATATTGGAGCGTCCATAGCTCAAGATGGCCTCCAAGCTGGCCCAATCTACTTCAAGATGACTCGAGATAACCTTCGACATGCCTCCACGATGCTCCAGCACAACCCTAAGACAGTTCCACGTGCCATCCGAGACTGCCAGGGCACCCCCAAAGAGGCCAACACCCTTCGAATGCCCAAAGCACATAACACCGTTGTTGCATCATCGCCTTGTAGCTTCCGGTGGGACCCAAGGACGGCCCAATAAGGCCCCAAAGACGGCCCCAAGAGCGCCCCGCGAGCGCCCCAGGAGCGTCCCAAGAGGGCCTCAATAGCCCATGTTTCGGCCTCCGGGAGGCGGACGCCAGCTTAAGCCGCCCTCCCTTCCGAGCTGTGGGGGCCCGGGGTCGCCCCGAGAGGACGCGAAGCTACCCACAAAAGAGCCCCAAGACGACCCCAAGAGGGCCGACAAGGCGTCCAACGTGGCGCCAAGATGGATCCAAGAGGCCTTCCAAGAGGTCTCCAAGAGGCTTCCCAAACGCTCGCGGAGCGAAACCTCTGCGGAAGCTTCACGGTTGACGCGTCGTTGTCGTCGTCGCCTTCAACTTGTCTGGGCATCTTACCTAGATGGGCTGGCGGGGATACTTTTTGAGTCAGCGACCGCAGGCGAGCGCGCCAGCGGCGAGTCCAGTAGAAGCGGGGCACGCGACCACGAATTAGCCTAAAGCGAAGGGGCACAGCCACACCCAAGGCGGGACAGAGCCTCACGCAGCACCTCGGCGGCGAACCGGCGAGTGGAAGGGGCTGGCGGTGCTGGCGGGGATACTTTTTTGATCCGCGGCCCGCAAGGAGAAGTCCAGAGGGCGGAGTGACCGAGGCTGGGGCACAGCGACAGATAATTGGCGCGACATCGCGCAGAGTGCACCTGCAGATAATTAGCGCCGCTGAGCATGTGTCAGCAAAAGAGGGCAACCGCGAAGGCAACAGCTGAAGCCCAGGTGCCACCACGCGGACCCCAAAAGCCGCTGAGCGTGTGCCAGCAGAAGGGGGGCGGGCGGAAACAGGTCGGACCCGCAGGTGGAGTACCGACTGCCAGGCGGAACGTGCCAAAACCACTCACTTGCCTCCCAGGGCGTGGGCCAATGTGTAAGCCACCGAGGGGGTTCGGGCCAATGCCTGGAGGGTGCCAGCCAACCACAGGAGAGGGCGCCCGCGATGGCCGCAGTTACCAAGGCGGTGTGGAGCCTCCGCTCCCAAAAGGCCCAACTGTGGCAGGAGCCAACGTCTAGCACAAGCGTCAGGGCGGTGCCTTTGGCCGACGACCGTGTCCGCCGCGGGCCGGCAAGCGGCCAAACTATGAGTCCAAAACTGCCGACCGCACTGTCTACACGCCCATGTGTAAGGGGGGCAGCAGAGGGGTGAGTGGGTTGAGGGGATGGGGCTCTCAGAGTCAGATGGGTGGGGCGGATAGCGTGAGGGGATGATTAGACCGATCCCTCGACGTAGAGCGTAGGCGACGATGTGGAAAAGTCACTGCACGTTGCCGACAACTCCAAAGATAGGATGGGGGCACGCACATGGAGGGGGCCCCGTGTGGACTAGAAAGGATGTTTGTTGAAGGCGGCCAGCCGTCCAGATTGCGCGTCGGATCGGCGGGGAATACGCCGGAAGGTCCGCTAACATTTTCCATCCTTGTCATCCCTCCCCATCCGCCCTCCATCCATCCATCCATCCATCAAACCCAGCCCCGGTCGTCCTTTCAATCCGCAATCCAATCCAGAGAATGTCCAATTAATCCGCATTTCCAGGACAAGCAAGGCCCCCCCGAAGGTGTAACGTAATCTTCCTCCTCCTCGAGGGGTTCGCACAACCCTGATCGCCGCTGGGAACGAGGCGGCGGTGGGGACGACCACAGCCAACATGGCATAGCAGTGCAGCTAAAGCACGCACTGGCGCCGGATCAGCCAGCAGGCGCAAGCTCAGCCATCCACCACCTCCTCCTCGTCCTTCTCCTCCTCCTCCCCCTCGTCCTTCTCCTCACCCTCCTCCTCCATTCATTTCCGGTCTGAATCACTCCCTTCTGTCGTACCCCGAGGGCAGTCGGAAGGGAGGCCCAGGCGTTTCCCCTGAGACTTCCTTACCATTTATGAGCCTCAAGCTTCCACACTGGCAACAGCTTCACACATGGAGGGCGGGCCACTTCCAAAATGTAACTCTCGCCCTAGCGCCGCGCGTTTTCATTGTAATATGTTGCAACAGCTTCGCGGATTGAGGGCGGGTCGTTTTCAAAATGTGGCTCTCGCCTTAGCGCCGCGCACATTCGTTCTAAAACTGTGCAAAAGATTCACGAAGTAAGGGCGGGTCGTTTCTTACATGTGGCTGTCGCCTTAGCGCCGCGCACCTTCTTGCTATGTAGTTGCAAGATTTCACAGGACTGAGGGCGGCTCCTTTTCAAAATGTGGCTGTCGCTTGAGCGCCGTGCACATTCTTCATAAAACTTTGCAAGCGCTTCACGGGTTGAGGGCGGGCCATTTTCAAAATGTGGCTCTCGCCCTGGCGCCGTGCACATTCTTTCTAAAACTTTGCGAGAGCTTCACGAATTGAGGGCGGGTCGTTTTCAAAATGCGGGCTCTCGCCCTAGCGCCGCGCACCTGCTTCGAAAAGCATTTAAAGAGTTCCAGTGATTCTCACGGTTTGCGACTGAGGATTGTTAAGGTGCAACAGTTACGCTCATTCGCCGTGTTGAAGCCCCAGGGATGATGTTCTGGCACGATTCACGATCGTCAAGACGCAACAGATAGGTCGACTCCTTGCGTGAAAGTCATGAGAATGGTGTTTTGGTATGCTTGAGGATGTTCACAAGGTTGTCTCCCAACGGGGCACTTCACTCAGTGGGAATGAATCTTGTTGGGGGCCTATGAGAAGCAAGTTTGGAGGGAGTGTATGTTCCAACATCGTTGATGGTTCTTGGGTTTGCACTGGTCCTCCTCCTCCTCCTTCTCCTCTTCGTCCCGATCCTCCTTCTCCTCCTCCTCCTCCTCCTGCCCCGCCGTCCTCCCCACCTCCCAGTCTCATGCCGCTTCCTTCTAATACGACAGAAGACGACGCCTAAGCAAGGTCGCCTCAGACTCCGCTTAGTCAAAGGCCCCCGCCTCCTCTTGATAAGCTTGCGTCCCGATCCGCCTCCGCCGAGCCGCAATAATAGACTAAGCACGACCCAGTTATCCACTGCCTCTTCACGTACCTCCGCCGACTAAGCATCAATCCTCCTTCAGATCCTCCTCAGAGACAGGCTTTGAGGTCACAGTCCCCTATCCTCCTTCTGCCCATCCTCCTGCTCCTCCTTCCTCCTCGTCCTCCTCCTCCTCTTCACTCCTCCTCCTCTTCCTGCCCCCCTCTCCTCCTCCTCATCCTCCTCTCCTCCTCCTCCCCCATCCTCTTTACCTCCTCCTACTCCTCCTCCTTCCCTCCCTTACTCCCGTCCTCCTCCTCCTCCTCCTCCTCCTCCTCCTCCTTCTCCTCCTCCTCCTCCCCCTCCTCCTCCGAACGCTCTCGGCGAGGGACAGCTGCTGGAAAACGTCGGCTGGACAACTTCCCAAGACCGACGATCTCCAGGGCAGCAGGGGGCCGCGCGGGGCAGAAGGGGAGAGCAGGGTGGCAGCGGAAGGCACGGGGAGGCGCAGCAGCGGCGGCAGCCGTGCAGAGGCCAGCGACCGAAAACATCCCGCCGTGATTTTCAGGGTCGGCGGAGACGTGGAGGGAGCGGGCCTCCTTCGAGAAAACCTCCACCGCGCCGAACAGCTTAAAGCTGGCCTCGGGGCGCGCGGGGCCGCCGAGAGGTCTGCGAGGGAGAGGAAGCGGAAGCACGCCACGTGGGCGGCATGCCCGCTTGCAGAGCCCTTCCTCCTCCTCCCCCTCCCCCTCCCCCTCCTCCTCCTCCTCCTCCTCCTCCTCCTCCTCCTCCTCCTCCTCCTCCTCCTCCTCCTCCTCCTCCTTATTCTCCTTTCCTCCTCTCCGTCCTGTTCCTCCTCCTCCTCCTCCTCCTCCTCCTCCTCCTCCGTAGCCATGTTCGGCTCAAGGCGCCTGGCTCTGCCAGCGCTGGGTCCGCGGCACGCCTGTGAGGCATCACGCTTCTTGCCCCTGCCATGGAGGCGGCCCTCGGGGCCAATGGGGCAACGCCCGCTCCCCCTCGGGGACGGGCGCCTCGACGCCCTCGAGCGCCGCCCGGGCTGCGCGCTCGGGGGCTGGACCGTGGCAGCGCGCGCTGCGCGGGCCGCGGGCTTCGAGATGATCGGCGCGTGGCCAAGGCGGCCGAGCGCATCGACATCTCGCACAATCTCGCTCGTCTTGCGTCCGCGCAGTTGCTTCGACGACGCGCTGGACGGCCTCCGCCCCGCGCGCTCCGTGCCAGCACCGGTGGGTGCCATCTCCCGGAAGGGGCACCAAGAGCAGCTGGTGCCCAAGCTCGGGGAGCTGGCGCGCGTGTTGCGCGCCAGGGGCGCCGGCGCCCGGCGCGGATCCAAGAAATCCGCGAGGAGCGCCAAAAATTTATGATTTAATCGCTTCGCTCATGCCGCCGGCCCTGGAGCCCTCTTTAGGGCCTCTTGGGGGCCTCTTGGGGACCTCTTGGGAGTCTCTTGGGGCTCCTTGGCGGCGTTTTGGAGGCCCCCAGGGCCTCTTGGGGGGCTCTTGGGGGTAGTCGATTGCGGCTCCCCCCGCGGAGGCCACGATCCTCGTGAGGGGTGTCGAAAAATACCCTCCCCTGGAGTGGTCTGGTGGCTTCTCCCGGGCTTCTCTCGGGACCTTGCCGGGGTACTTTTCGTCCGGGGGCCCCCAGGGGCCGCTCCGCGCGCGCGAACTAGAAATATTGTTAACACGTTACCGGAGATCTTAGCACGCCTCTGGCCCGTTGGGCCGGCGAATTTCACTTATGTTAGCTCCCGCTCCCTTCCCTCCTCTTTTTCATTGGCGAGGCACCAAAGCTTCGAGGCACAAGCGGCCCCACCCTGGAGCCCAGAACAGCGGCAGGCGGGCGGCGCGCGCGCGCAAGAGACGCGAGGAGGGGCGGCGGGGAATCGAACATTGCTTCGCGCACGTGAGTCCGAGTTGTTTCTTCTTCGATCCGAGAAGGTCGGTGTGGTGAAGGTCGACGGGCCAGCGGGGCATCTCGCCGAGGCCGGCGGCAAGGCTCCTCCCCTGCAGGGCGTGCGGTGCCGCTGCGCCGCCCCCTGCAGCTCCTCGCGCGGCCGCCGAAAGAGCGGCTCTGCGCGGGTGAAGGGGCCCTGGGGCGCACAAACAAAAATACACACAAAAGACAGGACTCTCCATATTTTCCAATATTTCCGGGGTTTTTGTCTTGCCCCCCACTTCCCATATTTTACAATGTTTTCTGGGGAATCGACGCTTCATTGTGTCTGTGTGTTTCTGTTTCCTCCCGAGCGGACTGCGGCGGCCGGGCGATGATCGAGAAGGCGGCGCTGGGCAAGCCGGATGAGCTCGAGGGCATCGGCAGCCCCATGATGATGCAGATGACGACCGGGAGGCGGTGCGGGACACGCCGAAGGAGCCGGAGGGCATCGGCGACCCCATCATCGCGCAGGCTGCGGACGCCCTCCCGGCACGAGGCTGGAGCTGAGAGGAGCGCAGCGGAGGCTCGTGAAGGACAGCACGGTGCCGCCGACGCCGCCTCGAGGAGCGCAGGGTCCCGTCGGTGCTCTCACGTGCGCGCGGCAGCCGCGGCCCTGCGCTCCTGCTTCCGGAGCCTCCCTCGGCTCCCGCTGCCGCCCGGGCCCTGGGGTCCTGGCCTTCCAGGTCGGCCAGTGACGCCGCGGCGGACGCGGAGGCGGAGGCGGAGGCGGAGGCGGAGGCGGGGGAGGAGGAGGAGGAGGAGGAGGAGGAGGAGGAGGAGGAGGAGGAGGAGGAGGAGGAGGAGGGCGGAGGAGGAGGGAGGAGGAGGGAGGAGGAGGGAGGGCAGGAGGAGGAGGAGAAGGGCTGAGGAGGAGGAGGGAGGAGGAGGAGGGCGGAGGAGGAGGAGGAGGGCGAGGAGGAGGAGGAGGAAGATATTATGGCCCCTGAGGCCAGGCCCCAGGGCGGGACGCGCCGAGGAAGAGAGAACGAGGAGGAGGAGGAGGAGGAGGAGGAGGAGGAGGGAGGAGGAGGCGGAGGCGGAGGCGGAGGCGGAGGCGGAGGAGGAAGGGAGGAGGAGGAGGGAGGGAGGAGGAGGAGGAGGAGGAGGAGGAGGAGGAGGAGGAGGAGGAGGAGGAGGAGGAGGAGCAGGAGGAGGAGGAGGAGGAGGAGGAGGAGGAGGAGGAGGGAGCAGGAGGAGGCCTTTTTTACATCCGCATCAATGGTATAACGAGTTGCGCCACCTCAGTCGGGGCTGCCAGAATCAGCACCGATCTCTCCGTGCAGAGGCCTGGCGATCTCTGCTTGCAGGCGTGGGAGCGCGCTGGCGAGCACAGCGGCGCACGAGCCAGCGGAGGAAGAGGAAGAGGCGAGAGCCCTCGGGTGCAAAAGTCGCAGAGGCCCGAGGGAAGAGGACGGACCCCGAGCAGCGGAGTCCCCGCAGGGAGTGCTCGGGCGGGGGGGCGGGCTACGGCTCCGCCCCAGCCAGAGAAAAGGCCCCGCAGAGGGGCGATGAGACTCCTTCCTCCCCCGTCCATCGACGACGACGACTCAACGGCGGCCTCCTCACCCTCGAGGGCTCCGAGGAGTTCGCGAGCAATCGCATCTTCCTCTTGGGAGCTGGTGGGAGACGGGCGGGGCACAGCAGCAGCAGGCGCCCAGCCCAAGTCGGGCGCCGCAGCGACAGGAGCCGAGGCCTCAGGGGAGGGACGGTCATCATCAAAGACGAAATCAGCCCGAGGGCCGCGCTCAACCGCGACCTCAGGACGCTTGGGATGCCTGCCCTTGCGCACAGGCCCCCAATCGCCGTGCTCGGCGGACCTCGTCGGGCCGTTGCACTTGCCACCTAGGCCACGAACGCGACCGTAGGGGGGAGCAGCAACAGCAGCGCACACAAATGAGGAGGAGGAGGAGGAGGAGGAGGAGGAGGAGGAGGAGGAGGAAGATGAAAAGGGGGGGAGAAGGAGGAGGAGGAGGAGGAGGAGGAGGAGGAGGAGGAGGAGGAGGAGGAGTATGAGGAGGAGGAGGCGAGGAGGAGAGGAGGAGGAGGAGGAGGAGAGGAGGAGGAGGGAGAGGAGGAGGAGGGAGGAGGAGGAGGATGAGGAGGAGGAGGGGGGGGGAAGGAGGAGTAGGAGGAGTAGGAGGAGGAGAAGGAGGAGGAAGAGGAGGAGGAGGAGAAGGAGGAGGACTCGACTCGACTATGCCGTGGACTCAACGTGTCGTCTGCTACTGGACAAACCTAGCACCACTCTGAGTCTAGCTGGGCGAACCCCCTCACTCCCACGTGCGCGGATGCCACGGAGCATACTGGCATTGCGCGCACCCCACTCCCGCACACAACGAGCTAAGGGCATGCGTGCACTCGGACAAAAATCGTTTCGCTGTCTACTTCCCGCCCATTCCCTCCGGCTCTGGCGGCCCCTGGACGAGCGGTGAAGAGGTTGAGGTCAAGGGAGGACTGGACAACTGGAACAGGCAGGCTAGGCTCACGAGGGGCTGGCAGGCGGCCAGCGGCAGCTAGTGCTGCGTAGCGTTTAATCTCTCTCTCTCTCTGAGTGCCGTCGGCGCCCCGCTCGGAGCTCGAGGGTTGCTCAGCTGAGGTGTCTGCAGTCTCCCTCTGGTCTGAACTCTTGGGGCTGGCTCGCCGATCAGCTCCAGCGCAGTCGGATACACCGGGCTCGGGCCGCGCGGCGCCGGGCCCAGTTTCCTCTGGCCCCCTTCCTTCTTGAGCTCCCCGATCGGGATGTCGCGGATCAGCTTCATGTTGCGTTCGTGCAAGTCGAATGGCAAGATCAGCCGCACTGTCTCCTTCTTGATCGGCGCCTTGTTCATCCTTCGCCTGGAAGTGCGTGATGCAGCCCCCCAGGAGCTCGGAGTCCTCTGTGCACACTACCTGCGTCCAGAACTCCATGAGCACCTTCGTTGCTTCCTCGTTCACGAGCGTCGCCAGGCCCTTCCTCGTGGCCGCTGCGACGACCAGGTGTGGAGGTCCGAGCGATCCTGTGTCGACCTGGCTGTCGACCGCGTGCTTCTCCTTGAGCTCCTTGGCGTCCGCGTCGTACTGCTGGCCCGCCTGGACCGCGAACTCCGCGAGAGGTTTGCTGGCCTCCAGCTCCCACGCCTCGTACACCGTGGCCTGCAGGTCCTGTACGTCCTTGGCCACCATCATAGGCAGCTTGGCGGAGGTGATCGCGATCTGCTCCACGCGATCTGCATCTCTGCCCCTGCCAGCGCTCTTGCCCTTGTGCTGCTCAAGAGGAGGAGAAGGAGGAGGAGGAGGAAGAGGAGGAGGAGGAGGAGGAGGAGGAGGAGGAGGGAGGAGGAGGAGGAGGAGGGAGGAGGAGGAGGAGAGGAGGAGGAGGAGGAGGAGGAGGAGGAGGAGAGGAGGAGGAGGAGAGAGGAGGGAGGAGGAGGAGGAGGAGGAGGAAGGAGGAGGAGGAGGAGGTGGAGGAGGAACATCGTCAGAACATGACAGCGTGGGGCACCCGTGCCCTCCTCGCGGCCAGAGCGCTCGGGGGGAAGGCCCGACGGCCGGGCTGCAGCGCGGCGCCGGCGGAGGCGCACCGTGGGCGGGGGTTCGGCTGTGACCCTGCCGCGGGCAGCGCACTTGCCCACAAAAGCCTGGAGGAGAGTCCCGCCGCGCAGTGTTCGAGTGGCCTGCCGCCGTGCAGCAAAGGGCGGCAGGCACA